TCTCATGCTAAGACCCACTCTGAGTGGGTAAGGCGGCATGGGGAGGCACATTGGACTGCCTTTGAAAAATAAATGTCTCCAAGATTGATTGACGGCTTGAAGAGCTCTTTGGAGATTATATCAAAAATTATTGATTAAGTTACTAAGTCATAGAAAATAGGCTCTGAGGTTGGGAACTAAGTGCTTTCTTTAAAATAATCCAGAAGCAGTAGAATAAATCAATGTGCAGAGCATCTGAAACATCATAACCATCATGCTGGCTTCAGTGTGGAAAAAGCAGTACTGTTGTTTCAAAAAACATCTTAACAGTTGTCTGGGCATTCTAAAAAAAGGAAGCCAAAAATCTTTATTCTAATATTTACTTTGCAGAATTGTTAACTTCTAACACTCATTTATTTTCTAAATCAATGAAAAAAATTGCAAGGCTTTTAAATTAATTTGTACCAGATAGGGATTGTTTGTTTTTGCAAAAATAAAAATACAAAAACCTTATGAGATGTTTTGGTTTGAAGAACTGAGACCAACAAGCTTAGTCCTGCTCAGTTTTTTTGGTGTTAAATCTAAATTCAGTACACAATAATACAATTTAGTGTCAGTTTGGTTTGAAGTCATTCTATTTGCATTTAAGACCATTGATTGAACTTTATAAGAAAAAAAATCCCATCAGTGTATCTTGCTAAAAGAAAAACTTAGTATGCAAAGTACCAATTTTGGAACAGTTAATTTGAATGATGACTTTTCATATTATGACAGCATTCTGTGTTTTGAAGGATTCACCAGAAGGATTTATAAAAGTAACTGTCCCCTTTGGTTACTTAAATATTTACTTATAAATAGTAAACTCCTTAGAGGGGAGAGTGGCACCAGGGAGAATGATAAGGTGTCAGAAAATGACGATCACTGCAAAATGATGATAAACCACAGCTCTCAAATTGTTACATAACTGAAAGACAAGGTAATTCAATGAACACATGTTTCCATTTGGTACCAGCTCTGAGCCTGGGAGATCGGAGACCTGGTGTTAGGGAAATCACATCATCTTTATGGGCCTCAGTTTCCTCATCTAGTATACTCAGGAGATTGGACCAGCTGGTCTTTAAGGCNAATCACATCATCTTTATGGGCCTCAGTTTCCTCATCTAGTATACTCAGGAGATTGGACCAGCTGGTCTTTTGAGACTGAATAATTTCTTGATTCTGTTTCCTGAAGTAAGATGTACTTATTTGGAGGGATTTGGAGACTGAATATAGTAAAGGCTCCTGGACCTCTGGTTACATAGGGACCTTAATGCTCTGTTCAGCAAACCAGCCCTGTGTGCGTGCCTCCTGTGTGGCACGTGCTGTCCTGGGTGTTGGCAATAGGATGAGGCACAAATGCTGCTCCTCCCATCAGGTTTCCTTTAATCTGGGTTTAGGGTGGTGAATGGGGGAGGGAGGAGGGAGTAGACAGACTAAAAGCAAGTTCAGTTGAACGGAATTTACCGCCGGAGCTGTCTGCTTCTGTGATGACCACAGAGCCCAGACTTTGAGCAGTGTCAGCAAAACTGCCCTCACAGGCAGTGCCCTTGGCGTAGAATAGTGAGTGGGAAATGAGGCAGAAACTGAATTTGTGTTTCCCTGGAGATGCCGGGAGTGACCCCTGGTTGTCTACTTTGAGAGATGCATGGCCTTTGGTCATTCCCTTGTGATGGCCGTATCTCATGCTATTATGTTCATAGTGAACCTAAAAGCACCTCCCTATTCTGGAGCATTCTCCGATGATGAAATAAGAGTTTGCTGAGGCATAGGGAGTGTTATTAAAGCTTCTACTGGTTTATACCCGGGATCCCTAAAGAGAGCTCTCTGGCTTTCATGGTTCAGCTGTGTGCTCCACAGAGAGGCACCTCCAGTTGCACTGGTCCCATTCCCCAGGGCAAGATATTTGAACCTACTACATCCAAGCTCCTGCTTCACACACTAAGTACCTGAGGCGTTTCCTGAGGACCGGCAGCAGAGGAGTTGCATGTGAAATTAACTTCTTTTATAAAATATTATCCCATCTTTCTGCTTTTCATTTTTACTGTCTATTCTACTTATGAAACCCCTGAATTAAGCTGTACTCTTTCAGCCTGCCTACTCAGTGTTCCCTAGATACTAAGGCAGGTGAGAACAGCAAGACATGTTTCGTCCCCGGGTGGAACCAAGCAAATGCATGCCTGGAACTGTGCTTTCTGAGGGTCTCCTACAGGGCAGAGTTGGGTGGGAAAATAGAGAGAGCGCCTCGCTGGGTGTGGAGCGACCTGAGTTCTACTCCAGCCTCTGCTTCTAGGAGAATGAGGTTGACGGGCTCGTCTGCAGAAAGGGTGGAATAGCACGTGCCTTGGCAACCCCGGATGCGAAAGCACTTTAGACAGGTTTCTCTTCCCAAGGTTTTAGTTACCCGCAGTCAGCCTCAGTTCAAAAATACTAAATGGAAAATTCCAGAAATAAACAATTCATAATTTTTCAATCGGGCACTGGCCTGAGTCATGAAATCTCATGCGGTCCTGCCCCAGATGTGAATCTTTCTTTGTCCCGTGCGTGCGTGCGTGCGTGCGTGCGTGCCTACGCCATCTACGCTCCGGACCGCTGGTCACCTAGTACCTGCCATCTTGGTTAACAAATCGACTGTTGGTATCTCAGCGTTCAGGTGGCCCTTATTTTACTTAATAATGGCCCCGAAGTGTAAGAGTACTGGTGCTGGCAATGTGGATATGCCAAAGAGACGCCATAAAGTGCTATCTTTACCTGAAAGGTATAGGAAAAAAATTGTATATATAGGGTTTGGGACTATTTGTGGTTTCAGGCATTCACTGGGAGGTCTTAGAAAGTATCCCTCTTGGATAAGGGGAGACTACTACAAACTGCAAAATAATTTATAATATTTTTTAAATGTTAAAATTCTGTAAGGTGTTTTTCAGCTCTCAGCCACTGTTTGGAACTAGTTTAAAACCAGAAAGGAGATAACCAAATGGAAAAGCTGGGTGGGTTTTATGCTTTTCCATCAGTGATAAATGTTGACTAGTTCCATAGAATTAAACTATGATATGTATGCTTCTAGGGGGCTTTAATTATTTCATTCTTGTTGCAAATAATTTAAAGAGGAAGATGGTGTGATGGGAAAAAGCGTGGCTTTTACAATAAGAAAGACCAGGATTTGAGATTCTGCTCTGATACTTACCAGCAGGGAGGCATCTGCTGAGTGGGACAGTGTTTCAAATGAACAGGTTAACTTTTCTAACTTTCAGTTTTCTAACATGTAGTTTGGAAAAATAGTACCTATTGCTTAGGGTTTTTGTAAGGATTAAATATAGCAAAGTGGGAAAGTGCCTGACACAATGCCTAACTCACGGTGTGCACAGGATTCATTTTCCATGTCTAATTTTCTCCACATTTTCCATAGAGGAGAAAGGGAATGTGAGGCCTGCACAGAGTAAGCCTTAGTGGAAGAACTGGTAAACTGGGGGACTAAAAATCTGAGCCATCAGAGTATAAAAAGAATTAGCTGTTTATTGTTAAATAGCCCCTTCCCCTTCCCCCTTCTGGGTTTTTTGTTTTGTTTTTTAATTTTTAAATTTTATTTTTGTTTAAAATATTACAGATGTCCCTTTGTCTCCCCAATGACCCATTCCACCCGTCCCCTCCCCCTCTTCAGTCCCTCTCCGCACCACTGTCCGTGTCCTTGGGTTGTGCATATATGCATATAAATTCTTAGGTTACTCTCTCCCCCTCCACCCACCAACCCTCCTCCATCCCTCTGGCCTTGACAGATCTCAAAACAGGAAAATCTTTTTATCTTTTGATGTACATGGTCATAGAACTGTGGTGACTGTGGCAATTTAATGGACTGATAAAGATAATTGAAAGTAATTCCTTAAATTACTCTTAAGAAAATAATTTTTTTGTAAATCTTTAACTTTCTTTTTTCTTTTTCTTTCCTCCCCCACAAAATCTTTCTTACCTTTCTTGTTCTGAGTAGCACAGTGTGCTCATAGATATCACTGAGATGGTGCAACTTCTTAGGGATGGTCCTCTCTGCTTTGTTCGTTACATGATGTTTTCTTCATTCTCAATGTGTTGGATTATGCGTAAATTTTGATCAATTTAAAAGTCAGCACAACTGACTTTAAAGATAGTAATTGTGAAGTAATTATGTAACCCATTAATGAATAATGTTAACTGAAGAAATATAAGAAAATGAACATATGTCCCCAAATCCCACTACACAGTTAATCCCTTTTAAATGTAAAAATGCAGTTGTACATTAGACGTTTAGATAATTATAGAATTATACCACATATACTGTCTTATGATTTTTTTTAACTTTGCATCTGTCTTATCACATCTGAAAATACATATTTTTTAAATAATTATTTTTAGTGACTGCATAGTGTTTCACTTTATGGATGTGCCAAAAATTATTTGATTCTCTATTGATAAGAAATTAGTATCTTTTCAATTTTTTTGTATTTTAAACTTAACTACAAATAAATGTACACTTGTATAATTATTTCTATAGGATAAATGCTTAGAAGATAATTCCAAGTCAGAGGTAAATGCACTTCTTAAGGCTTCCAATACATATTTCTGAATTGACCTTCAGAATGCAGGAAATCTTTTACCAATGAATAATTCCATCAATAGTGTAAAAGTGTCACAGTAAAAAAAAACTACTTGAGGCTAAATTCTAGTGATTTTGAATCCTTGTCATCTTATAGTGGTAAGGTTTCTACTTTTTTATTGTATTCGTGTGTTAGTAAAAACTATTTTTTATTACATTTATTGGGTTGACATTGGTTGATAGGATCATATAGGTTTCAAGTGCAAATTTCTATGATACATGATCTGTACATTGCATTATGTGGTAAAAATATCCTATCATTAAAAAATTAACAGTACCGTTTCGTAACCGTTATTTCCTATCCCTTCTCCCACTTTCCTCTAAGTTAATTTATCTTTTTTCTCTCTTTTCCCCCCTCCAGGATGGAAGTATGATGTGATGGACATAACTATGGGCTACTGTGTGGGTACACGGCCCCCTCCTTCCTGCCTCATCCTCCTGCTTCTCAAGCTCTTGGCCACTGTGTCCCAGGGGCTGCCAGGGGCCGGGCCCCTGGGCTTCCACTTCACACATTCCGTTTACAATGCTACCGTGTATGAGAACTCAGCAGCGAGGACCTACGTCAACAGCCAGAGCCGAATGGGCATCACCTTAATTGATCTGTCCTGGGATATCAAGTACAGAATCGTCTCTGGGGACGAAGAAGGCTTTTTCAAAGCAGAGGAAGTCATCATCGCAGATTTCTGTTTTCTCAGAATAAGAACTAAAGGCGGCAATTCTGCCATATTGAACAGGGAAATTCAGGACAATTATTTATTGATAATAAAAGGTTCGGTCAGAGGGGAGGATTTGGAAGCATGGACCAAAGTGAATATTCAGGTTTTGGATATGAATGATCTGAGGCCCTTATTTTCACCCACAACATACTCCGTTACCATAGCGGAAAGCACACCTTTAAGGACGAGTGTCGCCCAGGTGACAGCAACGGATGCCGATATTGGTTCCAATGGGGAATTCTACTACTACTTTAAAAACAAAGTCGATCTCTTCTCGGTTCACCCCACGAGTGGTGTCATCTCTTTGAGTGGACGATTAAATTACGACGAAAAGAACAGGTATGACTTGGAAATTTTGGCCGTGGACCGAGGGATGAAACTCTATGGGAACAACGGGGTGAGCAGCACCGCGAAGCTTTATGTTCACATTGAACGAATAAATGAACACGCCCCAGCCATCCATGTCGTCACTCATGTTCCTTTCTCCCTGGACAAAGAGCCGACATATGCGGTGGTGACCGTCGATGACCTCGATGAGGGGGCCAATGGAGAGATTGAGTCTGTTTCCATTGTGGCTGGGGATCCTTTAGATCAGTTCTTCCTGGCGAAGGAAGGAAAGTGGATAAACGAATATAAGATTAAGGAGAGAAAGCGGGTCGACTGGGAGAGCTTTCCCTATGGCTATAATCTCACTCTTCAAGCCAAAGACAAGGGGTCGCCTCAGAAATTTTCTGCCGTAAAGATCGTCCATATCGCCAACCCCAAGAGAGACACTGTCCCAGTTAGATTTGAAAAAGAAATGTACGATGTGAGCATTAGTGAATTTTCCCCTCCTGGTGTTGTGGTTGCCATAGTAAAATTAAGCCCGGAACCGCTAGATGTGGAATACAAACTATCTCCTGGTGAGGATGCACAGTACTTCAAAATTAATCCTCGGTCAGGTCTGATTGTCACAGCACAGCCACTGAATACCGTTAAGAAGGAAGTTTATAAGCTGGTGGTGACAAACAAGGAAGGGGATTTAAAAGCACAAGTCACCATTGGCATAGAAGACGCGAACGACCACACCCCAGAATTTCAGCAGCCACTGTATGAGGCTTTTGTGAATGAAAGTGTTCCAGTGGGAACAAGCGTTCTGATGGTTTCAGCTTCCGATAAGGATAAGGGAGAAAATGGGTACATCACCTACAGCATCGCCAGCCTGAATTTGTTGCCGTTTGCCATTAACCAGTTTACAGGTGTTGTTAGCACGACTGAAGAATTGGATTTTGAATCCTCTCCAGAAACTTACAGGTTCATTGTCAGAGCCTCTGACTGGGGTTCCCCATACCGGCATGAAAGCGAGGTAAATGTGACTATTCAAATAGGGAATGTCAATGACAACACCCCTCTCTTTGAGAAAGTAGCTTGCCAGGGAGTTATTTCATATGACTTTCCAGTTGGGGGTCATATCACAGCCGTCTCTGCAATCGATATTGATGAACTTGAACTTGTAAAGTACAAAATCATCTCTGGAAATGAACTTGGTTTTTTTTATTTAAATCCAGACTCTGGTGTTTTGCAGCTTAAAAAGTCACTGATGAATTCTGGCATTAAAAATAGTCAGTTTGCCCTCAGGATTACAGCAACCGATGGAGAGAATTTTGCAGATCCCATGTCTGTTAACATTTCAGTCCTACATGGAAAGGTGTCTTCAAAGAGCTTCAGTTGCAGAGAAACTCGTGTGGCTCAAAAGCTGGCAGAGAAACTACTCCTTAAGGCAAAAGCAAATGGGAAACTGAATCTGGAGGACGGCTTTCTTGACTTTTATTCAATTAATAGGCAAGGACCACATTTTGACAAGTCATTTCCTTCTGATGTGGCTGTGAAGGAGAATATGCCAGTTGGTGCTAACATCCTCAGGATTAAAGCCTATGATGCTGACTCTGGTTTCAATGGAAAGGTGCTATTCACAATATCTGATGGCAATACAGATAGTTGCTTTAATATTGATATGGAGACTGGGCAACTTACAGTCCTTATGCCCATGGACCGAGAGCACACAGACCTCTATCTCCTTAATATCACCATCTATGACCTAGGTAATCCACAGAAATCTTCATGGAGGTTGCTGACCATCAATGTGGAGGATGCTAATGACAATAGCCCGATTTTTCTTCAAGACAGTTACACAGTTAACATCCTTGAAAGTTCAAGTATTGGTACTGAGATTATTCAAGTGGAAGCCAGAGACAAAGACTTGGGTTCTAATGGTGAGGTGACTTACTCAGTCTTGACGGATACACATCAGTTTGCCATCAATAGCTCAACTGGAATCGTTTATGTAGCTGACCAATTAGACCGGGAATCCAAAGCAAACTACTCATTAAAAATAGAAGCCAGAGACAAGGCAGAAAGTGGCCAGCAGCTCTTTTCGGTTGTTACTCTTAAGGTTTTCTTGGATGATGTCAATGACTGCTCCCCAGCTTTTATTCCCAGCAGCTATAGCGTGAAGGTTCTTGAAGATCTCCCTGTGGGCACTGTCATCGCTTGGCTGGAGACCCACGATCCAGATCTTGGACTGGGGGGTCAAGTGCGCTATTCTTTGGTCAATGACTATAATGGGAGATTTGAAATAGATAAAGCAAGTGGTGCCATTCGCTTGAGCAAAGAGCTGGATTATGAAAAGCAGCAGTTCTATAACCTCACAGTTCGGGCAAAAGACAAAGGGCGGCCTGTCTCTCTGTCATCTGTTTCCTTTGTTGAGGTGGAAGTGGTGGATGTCAATGAAAACCTCCATACCCCCTATTTCCCAGACTTCGCTGTTGTTGGATCTGTAAAAGAAAATTCACGTATTGGAACAAGTGTGCTGCAGGTGACTGCCCAAGACGAGGACTCTGGGAGAGATGGAGAGATCCAGTACTCCATCAGGGATGGCAGTGGTCTTGGAAGGTTCAATATAGATGATGAGAGTGGTAAGTTTAATATTTTTTGTCAAAAGTGGAGTTTCACCTCTCATGAATCCTCAACATTGGAAAAGTAAACGGATATTCTCACACACTAAAATAGAATGGCAAATGAGGTTGTATTTGATGCAGAGGCGATTACAGTAAAAGCTTTTTCTTAGAATGTGTTGGTTTATAAGACCTGTTTATACAGTATTAGTCATTTTCAGTAGATGTCCCTGTTTTTTGTTCTTCTTTAGCACTACTCCCAGGTTATCTTTTGATAAGCGTAAGTAATTTTCACCTCTGTTGATTGCACTTTTGACTTTCACTAAATTAAGGGCCCTGATAAAGTAAATTACATTTGAATTGGCTTTAAATTAGAAGTGTGAAATGGATTTTCAAATGGATCTTATGTACTAACCTTTCCCTTTACAGCAGTGCTTTGCTGAAGCGGTATCAGTTGCTTGGTCTTCATGTTTCACGGGCACATCTGGCCCTTGAACGACAGCATTTGCACTGTGTATGCTCCACTAATATATGGAGGCCAGCTTCTACAGGTGTTTTTATGATAGACTAGAGCAGGCAGGTTGCAGATTTTATTTGCTAAAAATGATTTTAAGATTTTATTTGTAAGAGTTATTTTTTTATATTTTTAAATAAGGAGCAAAATTTACCAAATATTATTATTGTTCCCTACGTTTCTGTTTACTGTCCATCATAGATGCAGATATGTATATTTTTTCTATTTTTGTTATTCTTATTATGTGTCTTTAAGTGTACATGTGCCTGGACATGTGCATGTATATGTGTATGCCTTGATTAGCACTGTGCATTTTTCTACTCTACTTTGGATTATAGATGTCCCAAGATAGAGGCTGTGTCTTCTTTATTCTTGTGTAAGTGGTAATATTAGCACTTTACGATCTTCAGGACACATTTACATATATTAAATCATTTTCAACAACACTCATAGGGTGCTTTGATCCCAGTAATGATGATGATAATTAAAACAGGGAGCGGAAAAGTCCATTATAGGAATTCTAACTGTACATTGGTAGTACTAGAAAAAGGATTTGATAACTTGTATTAAATATTGGATAGGAGTTACAAAATATGCATCCTCACAAATTTAAACTGGTTTTTATATATACATGGGCTCTAATTATGGGCGGTATAAACTATAAAATTTGTCTTCATAGCCATAATAATGGAAATGGTAAATAACAAGAAAATCGGCTTCTGATTCAGCCACCTACTCTATTTTATTATATATAACTTGCTATTTGATTGGAATATATTTTCACCTTTGAAGCACAAAATGAGAGAGGCAGGAAAGTAACCTTTGCTGAGTGTCCACTCTGTGTTAATACTTTATTACTACTAGTAATGATGATTTCTTTGAATAGTTACAGTGGGTGGTAAAATGTACAAAGGGCTTTATAATCATGTCTTATTTATTTCTCCCAACAGCCCCATGAGTAGAACTAATAATGAGCTCATGAACTGACGTTCAGAGAAGGTATAGAACTTTAAGTTTCAGACTTAGCTCTGAGTACTGAGTGTACTATGCTCCTCCCATCTAAAGACGAGTGTAGGCTTCCTTGCACGTTCCTACATACACTTGAATTTGGTATTGATCTAAAATCTGTAAGGCAATAAAGTGTTAAACAGGTTTTAAAGTTCTTAAACCCTGGGCTCATTGGTGGATGACACGGGTCATTAATCACCCTTCCTTTTCCCTTCAAGTCCATCATTTGTGTGGCTCTCCAGTTAGAGAAGCTTACCGTTGGGACTCAGGTGGATGTGGGTAGGTAGGTCAGCAGGAAAGTATTGGACTGAATCGTTAACCACTGCTACCTAGATGACTACATTGAGTTGTTTTATTAGGAAGTTTCATCTCGGTATAGCTCGATGCATGCAAGAACAGGAGCAATTCGGTGAGAGTGGCCTAGATTTTCCCCATTTGTACCATGTTATTTTGTTCTCATCTTGGGTGTTATTTCAGAAAAATGTGTGTATAGTTCCATCGGATGATGTAGCTGCCCTTAGAATTCTTGACTCAAGGAGTTTGATACCCTTTACCTCTGTTGAGAAAACAACTCACTGCTCTGCATTTGTTCTGTTAGATTCTGGAGTGCACGAAATAAATTTTGCCATAGATAATAATAACTTCACTTGCATTTTGACATTACTATGTGACTTAAAATCCCCTTTCTTGGAAACATGACTCCTTTGGGTTAAAGAGAAGCTATAGGAGTCATGTCAGGTCACATACCAACAAGAGGATATAGATGGATCTAGAACCCACATTTCTCCTCAGTCCTAATTCAGTGCTCTTTGTTTTTAGGCATTCATTACGTATGTTTCTGATTTGCTTTTCTAGAGGATCTTTAATCTTTAAAACTATAATGGCAGTGCCCTTTTCCACATGTCATTTTGTTTCCTTCTCTTAGAAAGTAAACCTCTCTCTTTCTCTATATGGTAGAAAAAAAAGAAAGGGTTGGACTTACTGTTGAAACTTTTTAATGAAGGTTAGCATTTTCATGTAATAATATTCTTAATCATCTTACTTCCTCCCCTCTCACCTCTAATAGATTTTAACAGCCAAGCCCAAGAAGCTGATGAGGAATGATTGCCTGGACTTGTGCCAGGGAGATGCTAGGGTTAAGGAGAAGTTTGGCAAATGTATGCCCAACAAGAGAAGTCATCACCATGGTGCTGTTGGGTTTGCACTATTGTTGAATGATCTGTCAGCTCTTGGCTTCCCAGTGTTAAAAATCATGGCTTGAGCTGCTGGCAGAGTGAACAGCTATTTACCCCTGCAGCTGTTGCTGAGACTCATCAAGTTCAGACTCTGTTGTCTTCATTTGACCCTTGGGCATAGAATGGCCTAAACTTGTTTGCATTTTTGTCTTCTAAGAACCTTTAAGTCAGCTGCCAAAGGTTACTTAATAGCTCACATTGTTTAGTGGTTCTCAAATTTAGGAGTGCACATGAATCAGCTGCAGAGTTTGTAAACAATGCAGATTCCCAGGGCCAAGCCCCAAAGATTCCAATTTAGTAGGTTTGGGCTAGGAGCCCAGGAATCTTCATTTAAGGACTCCAAGCATTCCTTTTGCATGCGATTCACAAACACTACCCTAAATTTATTTGGGCTCTTCAAAGATATACCAGATTATGTCTTTTCTGTAAAGTCCTTTTTCTTATTCTTTTGAAAGGCAGGGAATTGAGCTCATATTTTAGATAAATTTATTAGTCAAGTTTTATAATCCAAATAAATCTTCTATTATTCATTAGCAGTGATAGTTTTCTGAATGCCTTCCCAATGGATCAAAAATCTATTTCTGTGCCTCAGTAATTGCATGCTCCTGTTTTGTGAAACTGCATATGCTGGGATTAGTTGATCCATTTAGTAGTTTTATGTTCTTGACGTTTCTGGAACTCAGTGAACAAAACCATGCCTTTGAAATTCTTTACTGTGCACAGGCATTTAATAAATGTTTAATAATGTTCACAATAAATGGATTAACTGTGGGGCCCAACCACAGTGAATTTGATCACGATTTAAATTACTAGTCTGGAAGATGCAATGTAATCATTGTTTCCTTCACTAAGAATGCATTCCCATTCTTTGACACAACAGGAATTCATATTCTTGAATACTCAGGTTTTAGATGGTTTAGAAAGAGCACATTGTCTATTTTAAACTGTTCTTTTCTATTAGATTCTTTTGCAAGCTGCAAACTTAAGCAATGATTTCACCATTTTATTTACTTGAGATTAAAGAAATGCTTAATTGGGATAAACAATTTCTAGTTTAGGACATTAATCATGGATAATTGGGAAGATATTTTTGCCATCCATTACTGCTCATTATGTTATTTTTTTCATTTATCAAGTATCTATTATGCTCCAGGCACTGTGCTAGGTGCTTTGTGGACACTGTTTCTAATTGTTGCAGTAATTCAGCAAGGTAGAGTTTAATGATGCTTGCCCAGTTAAGGTCATGCACCTGGAATTTATCAGAGCCGGGACTAGAACTCCAGAAATGGACTCTAGATATCTTGTTAGTCCCCCTCTTTCCACTCCAACATGGCTTAATAACCTTGTTAAGCATATGTATTAGTCACATTTTTCTGTATTATTGCTGCATAACAAATAGTCACAAAATTTCAATGGCTTATCAAAACAGCCATTTTTTTCCTTACTCCTGAGTTGGGGAAACAGTTGAAGCAGCCCTGTTGTGGGCTGTGAATTGAGTTACTGTATGTCCCACCTGTCTTCCCATTGCAGGATGCAGCCTGAGGGAGTGCACAAACTATCTGGGATGTGATGTTTTTAAAGGGGAAGTCAGAGGCACAAGAGGGCTACTAGAAGCTTGCAGTGTCTCTTAAAGCCTCTGCTAGAAACTGCCCACATCCTGTTAGCCAAAGCAGGTCACAGGGCCAAACTCAGCACTGATGTAGGGCAGGGAAGAATACTTTTACAGAGGGAGGGAGAGAGGGAGAGAGGAATAAATACTTACTGAATTAGAATATAGCCTGACATAGCCTATGACAGACAATTCTCACTAGGCTCTTTATAAACTAAAATTAATTTGGTGCTACCTGTGTGTAAGGCCCTGGGCCCGGCATTAGAGAGACCCATATAGCTACAGGTGTGATGCCTAGATCTTCCACAGTGGGAACCTTCCTAGTCTGTCTGAGCGGTCAGGATGCAGCTCCCTGTGATGATGTTGGTGGCGATGGCAGCAGTGATTCACAGGGACAAGTTCAGTGCAAATGCTTTGTACAGATGGTCTCATTCAGTCGTCCCATGAGGTAGGGACAGTTGTTTTCTTATTTTTACACATCTGGTATTTTAAGAGGAAACACTCGCATGTACCACACATATGCATTTGTATTGACCTTTCTTTATACTGAGGTTCTAGCCAGCACTTCTTCAACTTGTGTGAGCCTAGAATGCTCTCTTTATTGCAGATGTCTTGATAGAATCAGCAGAGGCTTAGGAGGTCAGATGTTCACTTT